ACATGCCACGTCAGCAGAGCCATGTCAGCAGAGCCATGTCAGCAGAGCCACGTGCCGGACCATGCGAAGGGGCATGGGAGAGGGCGAGAGAAGAGCGGTGAGACTAGATGAAATGGAGGATGGAAAAGGGGGGATGAGAGTGGGTGGTGTGAGGCGTGCAGTGGGTGAGAAGTGGAGGGCAGGGTGGCAGAGGGAGAGGGAGCAGACACGGCGAGGCGGGGAGCAGGAGGGGGTGAAGTTGGAGTGCGCGGGGCGGGGAGCAGGAGGGGGTGAAGTTGGAGTGCGCGGGGCGGGGAGCAGGAGGGGGTGAAGTTGGAGTGCGCGGGGCGGGGAGCAGGAGGGGGTGAAGTTGGAGTGCGCGGGGCGGGGAGCAGGAGCAGGAGGGTGGACCTTGGAGTAGTCGCGCGGGCGCAGGTAGAAGACGGGGCGGAAGGTGGAGAGGAAGCGGTAGTGCAGGTCCTTGGGGGGGAAGCCCAGCAGCCCCAGGTCCGCCCTGATGGGGGGCACGCGGGGCAGAGGGGCATGGGGGTATGGGGGACAGGGTGGTGCAGGGGGGGGGCAACGGGTGGGAGTGTAAGGAAGGGCAGTGGAGAGGAGAAGCAGTAGTGCAGGCCGGTGGGGTTGAGAGGAGATTGCAGGGGAGAAGGAGGTGTGGAGGAGTTACACGTGCACACGCATTTGAATCCTCACCTGGCTCTGTTGCAATCACCTGAGCGTGTCGAGCTCTGTTGCAATCACCTGAGCGTGTCGAGCTCTGTTGCAATCACCTGAGCGTGTCGAGCTCTGTTGCAATCACCTGAGCGTGTCGAGCTCTGTTGCAATCACCTGAGCGTGTCGAGCTCCAGGTTGAAGAGCAGCACCGGCGTGGCGGGTGGAAGTTTCTCCTGCCGGGGGGAGAGGTGGGCGGGGGAGGGGGTCGTGGGGGGCATGGGGGAAAGAGGAGGGGAATGGGGCGAGGGGAGGGGGCGGAGGGGGGGGGTGGGGAGTTGAGAGGAGGCATTGAGCGCGGCACTGCAAGGGGGGGGGTGGGCACGCAGGCAGGCAGAACGGAGTGCAGCGATGGCATGTGGTGGGCGCAGCAGGGCTGGGGGAGAGGGGAGGACGCACGTGGAGGGAGAGATGCGAGGGGCAGATGGGAGGGGCAGATGAGATAGCGAAATAACAGGAGCGGGCGTGGGGGGGGTGGTGGGAGTGAAGAGTGGAAGTGATTCGGGGAGGGAGCTAGGAGGGATGCGCGTGCAGGAGTGCGAGTGCAGGGGCGTGGGAAGACGGAACGGAGGCGCACAAGCAGAGTGGAAGGGAGGAGGGAGGAGGGGAGGGGATGGGAGGGGAGGGGAGGGGAGGGGAGGGGAGGGGAGGGAGGGAGGGAGGGAGGGAGGGAGGGAGGGAGGGAGGGAGGGAGGGAGGGAGGGAGGGAGGGAGGGAGGGGAGGGGAGGGGAGGGGAGGGGAGGGGAGGGGAGGGGAGGGAGGGAGGGAGGGAGGGAGGGAGGGAGGGAGGGAGGGAGGGAGGGAGGGAGGGGAGGGGAGGAGAGGAGAGGGGCACTGACGAGGTAGGTCTGCACGGCGGGCAGCTCCTGGCAGCTGGCGTTGGTGATGACGTACACGTCCGATGGCCCCGCCGCCGCCCACTCGCCTGCCATGCCCCGCCATGCGGGAGGGTGGGGGAGAGGATGGCGGCTCACGTGTGGAGCAGAGAGGAGGCGGGAGTTGAAGGGAGGAGGGCGAGAGGAAGGGACGGTGGGCGCTTGGCAGCTCACAGCCTTGGGAGTGGAAAGCAAGGCGGGCGGAGTAAGAAGAGACGGACAACGAGAGGGGCGAGAAGGGGGGTGCAGGGTTGAGGGGAGGGGAGAGGAGGAGGTGGGAACGAGGCGCATAAGCAACGAGTCACTATCCCTCTCCCATCCCGCACCATTCCTCCCTCGCCCCCCTCTGCCCCACTGTCCCCACCAGCCGTGCCACCCAGGTGTGCAGCGCACCGGTCTCCTGGCCGCCAAAGTCGAGGTCCAGTGCGTTCTTCAGCGCCGAGAAGAAGCCCCCTCCCCCTCCTCCTCCGCCTCCCGCGCTGCTCGGCTGGGTGGTGCCCGCCTGCCCCGGTGCTGCCACGGGGTCATCCTCCAAGCACCCCAGCGACACCCCGTTTGTCTGCACGCCAGGCGTGGGGCAGAGAGGAGCGAGTCAACATGGCGTGGCATGGGAATGTGGTGGGACTGTCCCGCATGTTCCACCTGCACTGCACACCACCGTACTTTGATGCACACTCTTTTAAACATTCCGTTTCATCTCACAGTGTCGTTTCATTCCAGAGTCGTTTCATCTCACGGTGTCGTTTCATCTCATGGTGTCGTTTCATCTCACAGTGTCGTTTCATCTCACAATATCGTGCCCTCTCACAGTATCGTTTCTTCTCACAGTATCGTTTCTTCTCACAGTGTCGTTTCTTCTCACAGTATCGTTTCTTCTCACAGTATCGTATCATCTCACAGTATCGTTTCATCTCAC